GGCTGGGCTGCGCGAGCCGGCCTTGCCTGCGGCCGCGGCGACCCCCGGACACGACCCGCTGCAGCGGCCCGTGGCTGCCGGGCGTTCGGAGGCCCAGAAGCTCCTAAGGCTGGCGCATCCCGAGCGCCGGAGGCTGGCAGGTAGGGCCCCCGTCCCCTCCCCTCGGTCACCGCGACCTTACACACGCGAGGTCCGGGGCCGCCGAGAGGGGCACTGCGGTGGCGGCAGGGGGACCCGGGGCCACTGGAAACGGTGCGGAGCACAGGGTGCCCCTACCTGGGCGTCCCCACCTGGAGTGCGGACAGAGCGCGCCTGCTGTAGCGGTGTGGAGCCGGCAGGCCCGCCCGGAATCTGCTCCCAGAGCTAATGTTTGTTTTCTTATCTTGATACATATTATACAAGTGGGGCAGCATCTCAGTGTTGCAGTCTTCGGGTCTGTTCCGTTTTTACTTTGCTGGCGTTCTCAGAATGACCTGGGTTTTTTCCCCGTATCTTTGTAAAATTAATCCTCGCCCCAAATAAACCAGTGTTGTCATATGTGCGTGCTTCAGGCAAGTTTATTAAGCAGCCAACAATATTTTTACTCTGTGAAGCAAAGCAGTGTAAACTTTTCAGGTTTGTCCCCTGCTTTTGTCTTCTGGGTGGTAGGCAGGAAGTTACTAAGTTCTTATCAGAAGGGTCAACACTGGTCGTGATCAGTGATCTGTAAACTCCAGAAGTGTTGAGAAACTGTGACTCATAACCCAACTAAATCATAATTAAGTAATTTTTAAAAAGAAATCAAAATGAATATTTTTAGGTCTTCCCTGGTGGCGCAGTGGTTGAGAGTCCGCCTGCTGATGCAGGGGACACGGGTTCATGACCCGGTCCGGGAGGATCCCACATGCCGCGGAGCAGCTGCGCCCGTGAGCCATGGCCGCTGGGCCTGCGCGTCCGGAGCCTGGGCTCCGCAACGGGAGAGGCCACAACAGTGAGAGGCCCGCGTACCGCAAAAAAAAAAAAAAGAATATTTTTAGGAACAAAATCCAGATAAACAGATTTTTGTATAGCTTGTCATTTTAGCCATGAATGGAGAAATGTTTAAATGCAAGGGCCTTGTAAGATCTCAAAGGTTTTGAGACTTCTCCAAGTCTTCGTTTCTTTAATAAATATTGAGTCTCATTGTGTGCTAGGCCCTTGGGTTCCACTGATGAGCAGGAAGAAGCATGGTTCCCGCTCCTGCTGGGGCTTGCAACTTAGTGGGGGAGAAACATTGATGAAAAGATATGTTACTGGAGATAAAACTGCACATGTGATGAGGGCTTGCAAAGAGGGCTTGTGAGGTTCTTAGGCTTGAAAGAGGAGAGAATCCCACCTTTTTTTGTTACAAGTCCATTGCTTTAGGAAGGACAGTCCTAGAGAGCTATTTGTGATGTAGGGCAGGTTGGTGCCATGGAGGAGGGCAGTAGAGTGGGAACATTTGTACCTCTCACTGACTGTTACAGTTTAGGGGGCTTCTTGGTATTACTGAGGTATAAAGAGAACTATCTCATCCCTCAGTTGGTTGTGCGTGTATTTTGATGGAAATAAAGTGTTTTTCCTTTTTCCTCTGTTAAAAGAAAATTTTGAGGCTAGGAACTCTCACTGGCCTGTGAGCTGCTTGGGAAAGGGGCTGTGTCTGCCTCATCTTTCTGTGTCTAGTCCTTAGCCTGTGTGTGTGTGGTACAGAGCAGGGCTCAGGGGGCCTTCAAAGAAGGAATAAGTGATAGTCTGACCAGGCCCAGAGGGAGGCCTGAGTTTAGAAACCCTGAGCACTGAGGGGTGTGTCCATCATTCCCTTACGGAAATCCAGTTTTGTTTTGTTTCTGAAATTTTAGATGTCAAGAAGGTTTTTAGGTGTCAGGCCCTGTGGCACCCACACATTCTGGCCACAGTGGGTGGCCCAGCCCTGCTTCTCCCGTGATCACCATCCCTGTACCCTCCTGCCTGGTCCCACGTGTCCTGCCTGCTAGCATGCTGAGAAGACAGCCTTAAACAGGAGAAGAGCTGTATCTCCTTTTATTTTAAGAAGGCGAGCTATTTAGATCTGCTGCATTGAATCATTGTGAATGTATAATTTGAGGAAGTAAGTCTGGGGTTGGTATGTTAATTTTTTCCCACCTTTTAAGCAGGTAATAAATACCTATTGTATTTAATATGATGAAAGCTCCTTATTAGGATGTACGGTTTCCTCAGAAGTTATTATATGTAATATATTGCAGCCCCTCTGGATGTTGGCATTTGAAAGATTGAGAGAACATTGAGGGGGTCACCATTAATTTGTAACTTGTCGTTGTAAGAGCAGCCTCAGAAGTCGGCACACCTCTTTGCAACTGGAAATAAAGAGCAAGGGTGTGTGTGTGTGTGTGTGTGTGTGTGTGTGTGTACTTTTAAATCAAGAGGCCAAAAAAAGCTGAGTTGAAGAGAAGGAATTCCAAAATTAATTTGTTAATTTTTAGGAAAAGGAATACAAAAATCCTTTTTCAAAAATTCAGCTGTACGTTTGAATAACAGTGTTTTCATCTGTGTTCAGTAGTTTGGTGAGCATGCTGCCTTAACTGTGTGACCAGAAAACTTTGATCTTAAGTGATTTGTGTCAGAAACTTTAAAAACAGGGTCCGCCATTTGAAATGTTTATAGGTATCTGCTGAGAACAGTCATTTCCATTTCTCTTCTAAAGGAACCACAGTCCTCGATGCTTTCCGCGGCCCCTCCTCCCTGTGCAGATATCTTCCAACAGCTGTGGCCTACAAGGTTGCTCTGCAGTCTTTTTTCACTGATAATTCTTATCACCTTGGTCACAGGAGTCTTATCACCTTGGTCACAGGAGTCTTAAAAGATGGAGGAGCTCACTGCGGAGCCCCTGTGGGCTGATGGGATAAGAGGTAACTGGTCAGAGCCGTCCTGCTGGGCCTGGCAGATAGAAGCGGCTGCTGGGGCTCTCAGGGAGTTAGAGGCAGGCTGTACCGTGCGTGGGGTTGGGAGTTAGGAGGGGGCCGTGAGATGCCGATGGAGGGTCTCTGTGCGGCGGGCCCGGTGCAGGGGAGCTTGTTTTGTTCACGGTTTGCAGGCAGGTCCCTGGTCAGATGTGGCAGGTGCACGTCCAGCCCTCTACCCCCAGGGTGTTCACTTAAACACTGATAAGGGCCTGTGTGGTTTGAGAAGAGGACAGTTCTCAGAACCTGACACCCGCCAGGAGCTTTTGCTGCATTTGTAGTTACATTTTATGGAGATAGACCGTGACGTGACCAAAATGAACAGAGTGGTGAAACCAGTGGGTGCGGTAAGCAAGGAGAGGGCGAAGCATGTTTCCTGCAGCCCAAGTGGGGACAGAGGGTCTGACAAGGACAGCACTGGTGGGACAGTGAGGCTGAACCTCCGCAATGGAGACTGCTCCAGAAAGCCCTACGGAAGTACCACGTTGCAGAGAAAACATGAACATTCTGTATCTGTGCTGCGAAACGTGCTAGTCGGAGTTGATTCAAAACGGAAATACACCCCAGATTTTGAAAGGACTTAGTATGGAAAAAAAAATGTGAACTTTCTTTACTTTTTAATGTTCATCGCATGTTGATTAATATTTTGGATATATTGGATCAAATAAAATACAGTATTAAAATTAATTTTACCAGTTTCTTTTAAATGTGGCAGCTGGAAGATTTTAAGTTCTGTGGGTGGCGCCTGTCGCGTGTCTGCTGGACAGGAGCACCCGATGCTCTGGCTTTGCCCAGACCTTTGTTCTTCAGGTCACTCCATGAGCCTGCGAGGCTTCCTCACCCTCCGCTTGCTGCTGGCTGTCAGCCCCCTTCACCTCCTGCCCTGGCCAGCTTAGCTAGATGCCAGGCTCCTTCACCTCAGCCTCCAACCTGCACCGGGCCTCTACTCCTTTGTTCCCTGTAGACACAGAAACCTCCTTTCCTCCTCTGTCCCACCCATCAGAGAGTGGAGCTGCTGGCAGGGACATGGGTCATTCCTGACACCTTGCGGTGACAGCTGTAATATAGATAATAGCGGATACTTACTGTTTACTAGATACTGGGCACTGGGCCAGAGGCTTTACGTGTGTGTGTGTGTGTGTGTGTGTGTGTGTTGTGTGTGTAATTTCTCCTCACAACATTTCTGTGAGGGAGGGGTTCTTTTTATTGCTATTTGACAGATGAAGAAACTGAGGCACAGAGAGTTTGAGTGACCCACTCATGGTCAAACAGCTAGATGGCAGAGCTGGGGCACTGACCCTGTCAGTCCCAACTTCAGAACTGACCTTCCCAACATGCTTCCCAAATCTGAAATTCTCAGGTCCTGTAGAATCTAGTTCTTAAAAATATCTGCAGTCCTTGTCACCGTCCGTATCCCCTCTGCCCCTCCCCGTTTCACCCCAGTTCCCCTCTCGCCTGGATCAGGGGAGCCTCAGGTCCTTTCTTTTCACCCTGCTGCCAGAGTGGATCATGTAAAATGCAAATCTGACTGTCTCACTCCCCAGCCCGAGGCCCTTTTAGGCCTGCCTTGCTGCAGAGTCCCTGTTCTACTTTAGAACCCGGAGCGGAGCGTAGTATGCCTCCACTTTATTTCTCAGTACTGCTCTGCACCAGAGTCCCTGTTCCAGCTTTATCCTGCAGCCTTCCTGCTCCCTGGCTGCCCTCACCCCCAGGCGAGTTCCCCGCTGTGTTCTTGGCTTGGAATGTGAGAAGACGAAGAAGACAAGCTTTGTCTCAGAATGTGGTTCTTCAGTGTATGACCTGGGTGACCTTGGGCAAGCTCCCTCACCTCTCTGTGCTTGAGTTTCCTCTCTGGAAACAAAAATGAGGGTGATGAAAGCGTTGTTGGAGAGAGTGCATATCAAATGCTTCAGAGAGTGGTGGGTGGTTGGTGCCTTAGTACTTGAGTGACATGGGGGTAGCTGCACCTGCCCAGCACAATGAGCAGACGAGTCATTAAAAGATCTGTCCCGTATCCAGTGGTGATAGACATGCTTGAGAGCCTCCTCCGCCCCCCAGACCTGTCCATCCAGGAGCTGTCTACCGGCCACAGCCCTTCTCCCAACAGCCTCTGTTTCAGGTTTTCCATCCCCTTTCTTTTGGAGGAGATTCCTCTTATTCTTTGAACGCTGTGATGCAGTAGAATGAGGGTAACGGAAAGATACTTGAAGATACCTGTCAAGAGACAGATGACAGTTGCCTGGGACCCGTCAAGCAAGGATAGGAACAAGCAAGATGCTTAACCATGGAGAAAAGGTGGAGAAGAGTTTCTAGAAGGATTATGGTATACTTGGCTTGTCAGGTTTGGGGAGGAATCAGAGATGATAGTTGTGGCGCAAATCTACATGATTCGTGAATGTCCGAGATGGTGCTATGTAGTAAAACCTTATTTAACAGGAATCCAGCTAACCCAACGCTGAAAAAAAATTTAACTTTTGTATACATTCAACTTGTAGAAGAAAGAGGCAAATGGCAATAAGACAAGCTGTCAATCGTTCTTTGTTTTTGTTTTTTTAATTAAAATGAAAAAGAGGGGAGATCCTGGAACGAATTTTCATTCCGCCAAATTCCTTTCTGTTTATAATCGTTATCATTACTGTGTAAGAACTAGTGTGTGTTCATGATATACAGGTTCTTATTTTGGAGTTGTAACTCTGAGTTTGAAAACTAGAGGCGGGAGGGAGAGATGGACCTTGATGGCACTCTGCATACATTACACTTACGGAAGTATTTGCCAAAGGGAAGAAACAGACCAGAGAAGCTGGCTGCTGATGACAGATGAAACAGGCCTTTCGGGTTAACCCCCGGCTCGCCAGGCCACTGCTTTCTGGAGCAGCCCGTTTGCCATGACCGTGCCCTGCAGAACCCGAGCTACACTTGCCTCCTACACCCTTCGGGCTTCCAGTCCCTCTGAGCACTGTCATCAGGAACACAGCGATTTGAAACAAGACCCCGGGTCTTAAAGCAGAAGGAAATGGCCCTTGGCCAGGTTCACGTTATGCAGTTCGGTTGTGATAAAGGGGTTTTCAGCTAGTCACGTGGGCTTTCTGGCTCTGGTAAAGGAGTCATTGCCACACACGGACTTCCTGAGCCACCAGATCTTACGATTCTCTTTAGGCTGTTGTCGAACTCTGATACGCTTTCATGCCTCCTTTGCCAAAGTTCAGTTTATTTGTTCATTCATCCAACAAATATTTATTGAGCTTTTCTTATATACCTGTCCCTGTAGGCAGTGGGAATATAACAGTGAACAAAACAGACAGAAATGCTTTTATCCTACTGGATAGAGACAGTAGACAAGTGAAGCGTTGGGAAGTGCTGGGAGGAGAATGGAGGGTGAGGCTGCTGTATTTGGGTCTGTATTAACAGATAGGGCTGCAGAGCAGGCCTCCTTGAGGGGAGGCCATTAGAAGACCCCCAGGAGGGGAGAGAGTGTGTGCGATGTTCCTGACTTAAGTCAGGCTCACATTCCTCCTAGAGCTCTGTTTGCCAACTGAACAACCGGTTCACATTGAGTTCATTCTCTACTCTTTTTATTAAGGTTTCGTGAAAGTAAAGCCTTTCACTGAAGTGTGAGCATTAGGCAAGACACAGATAGAGAAGCTGTTTGCAGGGTGTTGGGAGCGCCCATTCCCCAGGGCTCAACCCACATTGTGTCCACTTGGGGTTCTCACCATTGATTCTCCAGTGATGGAGCTAGCTGGGCCCCAAGCGGGACCAAACTCAGAAGGTGCACAGTGGCACGCGCCCTGCCCCAATCACTTGATGCCACTCTTCAGAAGGAATCTCTGTTACTTGTTTCTTGTTACTCTCCTGGAGATATTCTGTGCATTCATGAACTTGAAAATCAATAAGCAAAAAAGTGCCACAGACGTTAACATCTGTGTCCTGGCCTTTTTCACTAACAGTGTATCTTGGTGGATGGCTTCATGTCGCTTCCTATAGACTCACCTCGTTCTTTTTAACGACTGCATAATATTTATAAAATAAATACTCCATAATTGATTTAACTTTTCTCCATTAATGAACGTTTAGGATATTTTGAATCTTTTGCTGGGATAAGCAATGTCATAATGAACACCCTTGAGTGTACAGTTTTTGCATACACATATGGGAGTGTATCTGTAAGTTAGGATCTTAGAGATAGAACTGGTGGATGAAAGGGCATGTGCATTTATGTTTTAACTGATAAGATCACATCGCTCTGCCATTGCAACTGTACCAGCTTGCACACCCACTAACAGTGTAAATGCTTCTTTCCCCACAGCTTTACCAACACCATGCTCTCAAACTCTTTGACCTTTGCCAGTCATTAGATGAAAACTGATACATCTTTGTAATGTAAATTTGCATTCCTCTTATTAGGAATGTTCTTATCTGATACATGTTGTTCCTAATTGGATTTTCTCGATATTTTCTTTTCTGAAAAGATACTGTGCCCTGTGTCTTTTTTTTTTTTTAAGGAGTGTGAACAGTTGTGTTCTTACATATTTTATTATCATGCTCATATGCTGGTACTTTATTTCCCAGAGCAATAATATTAAGAAGGAATGTATCACGTGTGTAATGGCTGCCCATAACTGCTTTCCAAAGGTTCAAGTGTTTTGAAATATTAGACATAATCAAGAGCTTTACCTGCATAGTTTGATCTTCAAGCTAAGATACAGTTAGATGCCAGGGAATAACAGTGTATAGCACGAATGTAGGAAAAATATCATCTCGGGAGGGAGGCCAGAACGGATTTTTGTGGTTAGCTCTCAGTTACTCCTGGGGAAGAAGAGAGCAGCAGACCAGGGTAAAGGAAAAGCCGTCTTGTCTGGGTACTTGGGGACGATCAGTGCCCTTACAGCCATCCTGCCTGATCTGGCCCCAGAAACTACTCGGTTCTTCCCTTTAGTCAGGGGTCCAGGAGCTAAAGGGAGGAGACTCCCGGCATCTGAGAGGATCACATGCCCTGAAAAGTTTATTTGGGAAAGAAGTGTGATGAATTCAGCACCCTGCCCCTTGGCCAAAGCACCGATGAACCGGAGAGTTGCTTGTGTTTTCCAGCTGCAGTTGGGTTTCTGACGGTGTCCAGTGTCATCACCATGTCCGCCCCCTTCTTCCTGGGGAAGATAATCGACGTCATTTACACAAACCCCTCTGCGGACTACAGCTCCAGCCTGACCCGCCTCTGCCTGGCGCTCGGCGGCGTGTTCCTGTGCGGTGCCGCGGCCAACGCCGTCCGCGTCTACCTCATGCAGACGTCAGGTGCCACAACCCACCTCCTGGGCCTCGTAGGGTGGGGGTGGGGCGGATCTCGTGGGTTCCCTGTGCTCCGGCCCCCATGTTGTCCTCTCTTCCTCCACCGCGCGGGGGCAGGGCCAACACTGGGCTGGGGATTGTTGTAGATCATGTGCTCTGTGCTCAACCTGCCTCTCCCGTGAATTGGAGCGCAGTCGCCTATGTGCCTTCGGGGAGGTTTGAGTGAGGCGGCCGCAGAAGCCGGGACATGCCCCGCGCTGTGCCGCCCCTGCAGGCGGAGCCGGGCGATAGTGGTCGGTGTCACTGTGAGACCTGCTTGTTAGTAGGCGGTGACACCACAGTGACGCTAGAGCCCGGGACACCCGACTCCGAGTCGGTTGCTGGCCATTTAGCTGATGAAACACTCTGTAGATAAGTAACCAGTTCTTGCCATTCGAAGTTAAATCCAGGAAAGGATTGCGAAGGAGAAGCAAAATTAGCTTTTGAGAAATTAAGGTCGTAAAACTTCTCTGTAAGTTATACTTTACGAAAGTCTCTTGGTCACATTCCGTTTACCGCTGTATCCTGTCCTCGGCATCCTCGGGCTGTGGGCCCCGAGAGGAGATCGGTGCTGGTCACCAGCGCGTGCCGATCAGTGCGCCCGGGCTCCCACCGCACCCGAGCCGGCGCAGACAGGCCTCCGGGGCTGCGGCTCAGAAGAGGCGCCGACCTCGGGCCGCGCGGCTGCGTGTTAGCGGCTGAGTCCAAGCCGACGCCACTGCTCTTTACCTTGCAGGTCAGCGCATCGTGAACAGGTTGAGAGCTTCGCTCTTTTCCTCGGTTCTGAGGCAGGAGGTCGCTTTCTTTGACAAGACGCGCACCGGAGAGCTGATCAACCGCCTGTCCTCGGACGCGGCCCTGCTGGGGCGGTCGGTGACCGAGAACCTCTCGGACGGGCTCAGGGCCGGAGCCCAGGCTTCCATTGGCGTTGGCATGATGGTATGTCGGTCCGGCTGCCGGGGCGCCCTGTGGCCGGGGCTCGGCCCGCGCCCTCTTCTCAGGCGTGAGGTGCGCTCCATTGAGCTGTTCTCATCGCTGTCGCAGAGGCCGTGGGGACCTGGAGCAGCTGCTTCCTTGGTGGCACCTGCGCCTTCACTTCTCTGCCATGATTTCCTGTCTGGAGAACGGACCGTTGCGTTTAGAAAAACTTACCTTGTTGCCTGGGTTTTCCAAAAACGTGTGAAGGTGGTGGGAGGGCCCTCGGGTCCTGAGCGTGGGTCAGAGGAGGGGTGTCAGTTCTGTCCCCAAAGGCAGGAAGCTGCCACTGCCGTCTGGATGGGACGGAGGCCTCGTTTCCTCTCCTCCTCCTATCAGAAGCAGGTCCCCTCCTGCACGCAGGCAGCTCTGCCCTCCCTTAGGGGAGCCCGCTCCACCCAGGCCCGTGTCCCTTCTTTAGCTAGGGGCTTGAGCCCAGCTCCCTTCTTCACACCAGTGGTCTTTTCAGACCTGCACGGCTGCCCAGTAGGAATGTAGTGCAGGCCACGTGTGCCAGTGTACATTTTCTAGTAGCCACGTTTTAAACAGCAAAAAGAGGGAATTACCTGGCCGTCCAGTGGTTAAGACTCGGCGCTTTCACTGCTGTGGGCCCGGGTTCAATCCCTGGTCAGGGAACTGGAACTAAGATCTCACAAGCTGTGTTGCGTGGCCAAAAAAAATTAAAAAAAAAAAAAGAGCGAAAAGGTGAGATGAGATTAATCTTAATAATTTTACTTAATATAAACAATATTATCAACTCAACATGTGTTTAATATAAAAATTGTTAGATATTTCAAATTATTTTTTCATATTAAGATTTCAAAATATAGTGTGTTTTCTTTTATAAATTTATTTATTTAGTTTTGGGTCTTAGTTGCTTAGTGCAGGTAGTTGCGGCGAGCGGGGGCTACTCTTCGTTGCGGTGCACGGGCTTCTCATGGCGGTGGCTTCTCTTGTTGCGGAGCATGGGCTCTAGGCATGCGGGCTTCAGTAGTTGTGGCTCGCAGGCTCAGCAGTTGTGGCTCGCAGGCTCTAGAGCGCAGGCTCAGTGGTTGTGGCACACGGGCTTAGCTGCTCCACGGCATGTGGGATCTTCCCAGACCAGGGCTCGGACTCTTGTCCCCTGCATTGGCAGGCGGATTCTTAACCACTGCGCCACCAGGGAAGCCCCCAAAATATAGTGTGTATTTTATACTTACGGAACATCTAAATCTGGATGCTAAATTTTCATTGGGAATACCTGATCTGTATTTAGATTTCATAAAATTTGTGGTTGAAAAAGTATATTAACATACCCAAATTCCCAGATATACTTAAAACTTTACCAATAACTAAATAGAAATGGAGTATCCGTTTTTAAATTTAAATTTTAGTTAAAACTAAATAAAATGTAAGATTTAGTTCCCCAGCACACTGGCCACATTTCAGGTGCTCAGTAGCTGTGAGAGGCTGTCATCTTAGCACAGTTCTAGACCCCTAGAATGAGGACGGTGACTGATCTTTTCTCACAGGTGGAAAAGCTTGGATTTCTGTCCTGTGTTCCACAGGGCATTCAGTCCAGAGCAGAAGGATATGTTGAGCCTGTAAGATCTGACATACAGAATGGAAGACAGCTTTGAAATCTTATGTATGCCCAGCCAAGAGAGACGCAAAACTCTGGGAGAAGGGCCCTCCTGAACTAAAGCACCATTTCCAGATATTAATAGTCCAGGGCTCAGGAAGAGCTGGGAACCTCTTTTTGTAGCAGGTGAAGAGAGTCCCAGTGTAGGGCAGGTGGCTCATTGGAGGGAGGGAACCTTAGTACCTTGAGCTGCATAGCAAAGTACCACATCTGAGGGCTCAAACAACAGAAGTTTATTTCCCGTGGCTCTGGAGTCTGGGAGTCCCAGATCAAGGTGCTGACAACGTAGGTTTATTCTGAGCCCTCTTCTCTTGGCTTGTGGGCAGCCGTGCTCTCACAGTGTGCTCCGCTCACAAGTCCTTTCCTCTGTGCTTGTGGGGAGAGAGCTGACTCCCTGGTGTCTCCTCTCTTAAGGACCCGAATCCTATCAGATCAGGGCCCCCGCCCTTATAACCTCATTTTACCTTAACTCCTTCCTTAGAGGCTCCATCTCCAAGTCCAGCCCCATGGGGGCTTAAGGCATATGAATTTTGGGGGGACACAAACACTCAGCTCATAGCAGGGCCTCATAAGGGGGCATCCCCTGGGACCTGGCCTTTAGCTCTGGAGGAACAGAAGTGTGCTTTGTTTCTCATGGGCTCCCTGGACCCGACTATGGTAAGCCTGCTTCCAAGAACCTAATGATGTCTGTACCATACTGCCAGTTTGGTAATTTACGTTTGGGGGTCTTCCTCCCACCATTAAGATGTGTGTTCTGATACTCCAGCGCTCCTTGCATGACAGCACCCTGTGGTATTCTTCAGAAGGTTATTTCTAAGTGTGGAACCGGAGCACAGGGAGGGAGGGTTCTGAGCCCGTCCCCAGGGCCTGGGGGGCACTGAGGGATACTCCTGCCCCCCGTGCAGAGGGCTTGCTTGGGCTGTACTGAGACCTGCCTGGGTGCCTCGCTGCCCCTGCATGTGTCCTGTGGCCACTGCCATCCCAGCGTCTGCTTGTTTGCTCAGGGTGGGTCGTCCCATAGATCAAGGTGCTAAGCTCATTGCTGCCTTAGGGCCTCTGTGTACTTGCTCTTCCAAGACCACATGACCCTGTGGTTTCTCTCTCTCTCACCTGTTTACTCTCCGACTCTCACATTTGCTGTTCCCTTGGATGAAGCTCCACATGGGTCAGTTATCTCCCAGGTGCCTAGAATAGTGTTCGCTGCATGACGGCATTAGGCAACCAATGAGTAAATAAGTGAATGATTGCGTGCTTCGTCCTTTACTTTACATTTCAGTCTGCAGCTTTTCCTCAGCATTTTAGGAGAGCCTTGTACTGATGATACTATTTTATAATTAATAATTTGTCGAAGAGATGCTAGTACCATTTAAAATACAATCACCTAATTGCAGGGTTGGCTACGGGAAAACCCCGCTGTGTTACTTCCCCTTCGAGCAACTCCAGTTGTTAGGAGACTCCTCCTTTTGTTGAGTCTAGATCATCCGACTGAGATTCCAGTCCTCTGAGCCGCGGAAACAGCTCTAACTTGGTTGTTACACCCCCTGCCAAGTCCTCTTTCAACCCTGTCATGTGATGTGGGTGTTTTTGGTCTTGCCGCCACCTGAGTCATTTCAGTGAGATGTTGCTCAGGTTGTTCAGAGCCCTTGATCTGGACCTGAATGCAGAGCTCCTGGTGTGGTCTGGCCGGCGTGGAGCAGAAGGCGGCCTCCTTCCTCTGCTCACATCCTGCCCCCCTTCTCTGTCGGTGAACAGCGTGGCCTGATTTACACAGCCCTGGTCCTGCGTTGTGCCAGTGGTAGTGCAGCAGTGGAGGGTAAAAGAGCCCCACCCTTGCTTCAGCAGCTCTCTGTCACGTCACTCCTGTGTGGCAGGCCGAATGTTCATGGGGCTTTGTGAAGATTGAAAATGTTTGAAAAGTTCTACCAAAACTGGATGTACAATTTTGAGACAGCACCTTTAAGCCTGCCTGTTAATTTCAACACACGCACACACTTAGAGCGGGCAGTGAGAATGTCTTGCTACTCTGTGTAACACGATACCTTTTGGCTTTTGTTTTTGACAGTTTTTTGTCTCCCCTAATCTGGCCACTTTTGTTTTGAGTGTGGTGCCTCCAATATCCATCCTTGCTGTGCTTTATGGCCGATACCTACGGAAACTGACCAAAGTCACTCAGGACTCCCTGGCACAAGCCACTCAGGTAAAGGCCCCTCCCTGGTGTGGTCTCCACTTGAATGAACTCAGAGCTGGGGTATTGGTGGGCAGACCCCAAGGGGTGTGCTGAAGCTTTTCAAAAACTTACTTCTTTTTTCCTTGCATTAGCCCCCCGGATCTTAGCAACACAGAGTACTCTGCCTTCTAGACTAGATTAGTACCCACACCTCAGCGTTGAGCCCACTTGACTGTACATTGTGTGAACTTCTTACTGTCACTATTTCTTATAGGACGAAAAAGCTAATTATATTCTGAAAATAGTTTCTGGATGATATTCTGTCCTTCATTAATTAATAAAGGTAGCTTTGTAATGCTATCCAGTATTGTCTTTTTTAAAAATTAAAAATAACTTATATTTTCATGTTACAAAACCATGCATATTTATGAAACAAAAATTTTGAGAATATAAAGAGAAAAAATAACATGCATAATTCTAGCTCTCAGAATGAATTATTAACATTTTGGAGTCTATCCTTTTCATCTATCTTTTTCACTACATAAAATATATTTCTTTATCTAGTAGCTACCTACCTTCCCATTTATCTCTTTATCTACCTATATATATGATGTGTCTATGTATAGATATATATTTGTTTCCAGAAACAGGATTGTTTGTCATATACTCTGCTTTGTAATCTATTTTTGACTTAGTTGCGTATCATGAGCAGCTTTCTATTGATAGTATCTTAAAAATGAGAACCACATTTTAATTTTGCCTCCCTCGAAATATATGTATTATTTCTCCCAGCTAGCTGAGGAACGTATTGGAAATATAAGAACTGTTCGAGCTTTTGGGAAAGAGATGACTGAGATAGAGAAATACACCAGCAAAGTGGACCATGTGATGCAGTTAGCAAGGAAAGAGGCATTTGCTCGGGCTGGTTTCTTTGGAGCAGTAAGTAGATCATTTTGGAAAGAGT